ACCCACCATCATCAAAAACTAGGCATGGACACCCCTAACTACCTCTATTCCAACTACAACTGGCCTTACACTGGCTACTCAATGCAAGAAACCTTGTAAATAAAATACCTGAATTTCTCCTCGTACTAAATACGGCTAAATTCGACAACATATTTGTCTGTGAAACATGGCTCAATGCATCTCTCCCTGACTCCATTACTACAGTAAGAGATTATCATGTTTACTGATCAGATCATGAAATCCATAGAGGAGGTGGTATTGATATCTTCTATAAAAAGCCCCTACATCTAAAAAATATCTGTTACCCAGGAGCTTGCTTTCCTGAGACCATTGTCTGTGAACTGTCCTTAAATATCACATTTCAATTCTTACTATGTTACAGAGCCCTTGATTATGACATCGAACATGTAAACAAGTTAAATTCACTACTAACATGGGCAACATCCTGCCACATGCTTTTATCTTTCTTGGTGACCTCAATTTACCTCATAATAACTGGACCCTAAACGAATGTAAAACTGAACCCATACATGCAACCTTCCAAAATGCTGTAACAAATCTGGGACTAGAACAACTAGTAATCAACAATACTAGACTTAACAACTGCCTCAATCTCATCTCCTGCAAGAGTTTGAATTCAATTTATGGAATACAAATTAAAAACCCTTTTCCAACAGTGATCACAACATGATTGTCTCAACATACATCACACAAAAATCATCATAATGACCGGATTCCCAATTATAACTTCAAAAAAGGCAACTATAATATTATAGACAACAATCTCTCATTTCTTGATTGGCAATTTCTATTCACTGGATGCAATACTGTTTCAGACCATAACAACATATTTTTAATTGAAGTCCAAAGAGTCATCAAACTATATGCACCAATAACAACTCCCAAAACCAGAAAGAACAGATTACTCATAACAATAAGGAAGCTTCAATTCAGAAAGAGATAACTTTGGCAGAAAAACAAATCTGGTCATATTGCCAACTTCAAAATTCATTATAAAAAATTATGCCACCAGATAAAGACTGAATGCATCAATTATCACATTAAAAAAGAGGAAAACCTTCTGCGGACCAATTCCACCTTTGCTTTCTACAATTTTGTAAACAACAAACTAAAAGACTCAAGGTCCATCCCACCCCTGAAAGGACCTAATGGTAAAGACTGCAACCACGACACCATTAAAGCCAACATCTTTAACACATTCTTTGGCTCTGTATTTGTGAACAGCAATGGATCATGTCCAACATTTCCTAGTCAAACCACAAGCAACTACAATGATCTAATACATATTGATTTTACAGAAGACAATGTTGAAAAAGCTCCATGCAATCTAAAAACATCTCTATCTATTGGACCGGATGAAATAAGTGCCTACTTCTTAAAAAGAGCTATCCACTGCCATAGCTGAACTTCTAAACATAATCTATGAAAAATCTTTCAGGACCAGTTCTTTGCCAAACCTATGGTCACAAGCCACAGTCATCCCCATCTTCAAAAAGGGAGACCCCAACCTAGTTGAAAATTACAGACCAATCACTATATGCTGTGTCACCTGTAAAGTCATGGAATCAATTATTAACCAATCCATTATCCTCCACTTAGAGACAAACAACCTACTCTCTAATAAACAATTTGGTTTCAGAAAAAAACTATCCGGTAATCTGCAACTCTTACACTGCAAAAATATATGGACTACACAACTTGATCAGGGAAAAGCAATAGACACAATCTACATAGACTGATGTAAAGCCTTTGATTCAGTTCTGCATGACAAACTACTCCTAAAACTAAAATCTTATAGTAACTCTGGACAACTGCATAACTGGATAGAAGCATTCCTGTCATACAGAAAACAAATGGTCAAAATTGGGAGTGTCCTATCAAATTCTGAACCTGTCAACAGTGGTGTTCACCAAGGCAGTGTTCTAGGACCAACTCTCTTCATACTCTACATAAATGACCTCTATGATCATATTAAGAGCAACTGTGTTTTCTTTGCTGATGATGTAAAGCTATTCAACACCACCGATAATACTGCTACCCTTCAAAAAGACCTTGACGATGTATCCGAATGGTCAAACAAATGGCAACTTCAAATCTCAACAAATAAATGCTCTGTCTTACATATTGGCAAATAAAATAAAATAAAATACAAGCTGAATAGTCAAGTCCTTGTTGATGATCCAAACTCTGTCAAAGACCATGGAGTACTCCTCTCTAATGATCTAAGTGCTAGAGCCCACTGTAACTACATAAAGGCATACAAAAAGGCATTAAGAGTTGTTAACCTAATCTTATGTAGCTTTTTCTCTGGTAATATTACACTAATAACTAGAGCGTACAAAACATTTGCTAGACCAATACTTGAATACAGCTCATCAGTCTGGAACCCACATTACATGTCTGATATTAACACAGTTGAGAAAGTCCAGAAATATTTCACAAGAAGAGTTCTCTACTCCTATAATTGCAGAATACCTTATGCCAACAGACTTGAAATTCCAGACCTAGAAAATTTAGAATTACGCCGCCTTTGGTCCGATCTAAGTATAGTATATAAAATCATACATTGCAATGTCCTACCTGTCAATGAATACTTCAGCTTCAACAATAACAATACCAAAGCACATTATAGACACAAATTCATGGTTAACCACACCAAACTTGATTGCAGGAAATACGACTTCAGCAACAGAGTGGTCAATGTCTGGAATACTCTACCTGATTCAGTGGTTTCTTCCCGAAACCCTAAAAACTTTAAACTTGGACTGACTACTATTGACCTCACCACTTTCCTAAGAGGTCTGTAGGGGGCATGCATAAGTGCACCAATGTGCCTACCATCCCTATCCTATTGTTTCTTTTTATTTTTCTTATATGTATCCATTTCATGTATTTATAACTATGTTTATACCTGTTATAATTGCTTGACAAATAAAATAAATAAATAAATAAGCTTCCTAACAAAGAGGAAGCAACAGGTGAGGCTAGGGAAAATTATATCAGATAACTGTAGAATTAGCACAGGAGCCACCGAGAGCCATGTACTTTCTCCACTTCTCCCTCTATATACCAATGACTGCCTCTCAAAAGATCCCTTTGTTAAAGTACTGAAGTTTGCTGATGATACAAAGGTGATAGGTTACATTCGAGACAACAATGAACCTTCACACAAATGGGAGGTTGAACAACTAGCTTTGTGGTGCAACCAGAACAATCTTGAACTAAATACACTCAAAACCATAGAAATAGTGGTAGATTTTAGGAGAAACCCTCCTATACAATCACCTCTTACAATACTAGACAACAGAGTATCTGCAGCAGAGACCTTCAAATTTCTAGGTTCTACCATATCTCAAGACTTAAAATGGACATCTAACATCAAAAACATCATCAAAAAAGCACAAGAAAGAATGTTCTTTCCATGCCAACTCAGAAAGCTCAAACTGCCCAAAGAGCTGCTGATTCAGTTCTATAGAGGAATTATTGAGTCTGTCATCTGAACCACTATAACTGTCTGGTTAGGCTCTGCAACCAAACAAGATAGATAATGACTTCAACAGATAATTAGAACTGCAGAAAAAAACAATTGCTACCAACCTGCCTTCCATTGAGGATCTGTATACTGCACGAGTCAAAAAGAGGGCTATGTAAATATCTACAGACCTCTCACATCCTGGACATAAATTGTTTCAACTTCTACTCTCAAAACACTGCATACCAGAAGAACTAGACATCAGAACAGATTTTTTCCCAAATGCCAACAACTAATTCCCACAACACTGGCAAATTATTTACTAAGACTATATTATTATTATTCCTCTCATCCTTCCTACTTATGACTATACCTGTGTTTCTTGTATCTTCAAAATTTATTTTGTTTTATTTGTTTCCTAGCATGATTTGATTGCTTATTAATAACCTAAGATGAACTCTAAGTGTTGTATCTTAGGATTCTTGATGAATGTCTTTTATTTTTTTCTTGATGTACAACTGAAAACATATGCATCAAAGACAAATTCCTTGTGTGTCCAATCACACTTGGCCAATAAAGAATTCTATTCTACTCTATTCTATTCTATTCTATTCTATTCTATTCTATTCTATTCTATTCTATTCTATTCTATTCTATTCTATTCTAGGCATTTCAAGAGAGCATCACAGTGGGAGCCAGTTATATCTCTACTCAGATGATGTTCCTCAAGGAATGAGCCACTATAAAAAGACTCTTTATCTTCATCCAACTGGATGGACTTTCTTAGTAGGAGGGATAGCCATAATAAATCCAGCCTTCCAGATATGCTGGCTTGTGTAGATATAACTAGGAAGAGATAAGTCTAAAAAAAACCCTGGCTATGGTTTTAAATTGTTAACCAGCACTTGGATTTGAAAGCAAATGGGTAATCAATGGATGTCCCACAAGAGAGGTGACACATGTGTGAATATACATTTGCATAAAACCACATGGGACACCACATTTTGAACAAATCGGATATTTTTCAAGATAAGGCCCATGTAGATCACTTTAAGAATAATTGTCAAGTAAGTTTTGCACATTTTATTACCTTTCTTGCCATAATTGTTAAGTGAATCATTGTAGTTGTACAGTGCTTCAAAACAATGTATATATTCAGTGACTATGCTTACTTTAATATAAAAGGCAGTCCTTTATTTCCAAAAAAATGCCTTTAGATTTATTTATTTTTCAAAAAACTGATTTTTGTCCTTCTATATGCCTCATTTAATTCTTTTGTACAATAAGTGCCATATAATCCAGTCTCCTACACTCATTGGAAAAATATGGAAATAGAATCATTTTTTCAAAATAAATTACACATTCTGTTTTATTTTTGATATTTCCTATTAAAAATGAATTTTTAAAGTTATTACTTGGTTTTGCTCTTGAATTTTCCATTCTAAAAGAAAAATTATTGACCTTCGGAGTTAATAGACATCAACAGTTCTTCCATGGTATCTTTTACCTGTCTGATTGGCAATTTTCCCTTCTGGGCAACGAAGGCATTTATAACAGCAAAAAGGTTTCCCTTCAATTTTGATCTTGCTGTAACCCAAGGAGCAATGATCATTGCACAAAGAAAGAGGTTGAGTCTGTTAATAAATGAAAGTAAAATACATTCAGAATTTAAGCATTAATCTAAGAAATTATAATCTTCAAGGTATCTGCCCTTTCAGTTTTGTATTAGAATTTTGCAAACTTCCATTCTGGTGTGCATGATCGGTTTTATTTCATAAAATATTTCTTGTCATAATAAATCATGTAAATGGAAAATTCTCTTATTCCACACATAGATCTCAAAGATTAGGGCTACTTAGCTCAGAGCTTGGAGTTTATTAAGCTACTATTTCTTACAGAAAATTCTCTTCAAAGTCTTCTGCATCAAGATATATTGCTTTTCATTTAACCTATTTATTAATAATGTTCAACTATTGAAAAAAACTTGCCAGAATAGCTGTAACATCAATGCAACCCTTGAAAAATGAATAGATGATACCTGATTAAAAAGATTGGCCCACACAATGTTATCTGCTGATAGAGAGAGAAGGCTTTCTAGTTGAGCTGATGGATTTACTTTTCCAACTTTGATCTTAAGAAAGGATTGATTTGGGAAAGTAACCCAGTTGATAATGTCAAAGCCAGCTGCAACCTTCCCATTCTGGTCAAAGAAAATTTTTTCTCCAGGGCTGTTGTTAAATGAGACTTTTCTTAGGTAGTGGTGAAGCTCAAGGGAAGAACATCACTGAAATTAATATGCAGAAATGGCAAAAATAAACAGCAATAACATTTCGAAAGATATTGTTGCACTCTGATCCATCAGCTCCATCCATAGCAGAAGAAGAAATATCAAAAGAATCAGGGAAGTACTAACAACCCTCGTTTCAATTTTTATCACCTAAATATACATGCCTCCATTACCAGAATTTTCATTCTCAGAGTCTGAAACCACCAACATATTGTCTTGTTCTTCTCTCTGATATTTATCCATCTAACTAGAATTAGCTTGACTGTGCTTTTCAACACTCTCTAAGTGGTTTACAGAGTCAGTATATTGCCCCAAACTATTTGGGTCCTCATTTTACTGATCTTGGAAGGCTGAGACAACCTTGAGTCTTTCACGATCAAACTCCTGGCAGTGACCAATGGGTTAGCTTACAATACTTCAGGGTAAGTTATGTCCTTTCAAAATTCTCTATGTGTTAGAGAAAAAGCATGTGCATCATTTCCCTTAATTTTTCCAAGGAGGAAGAACTTCTCTCACTATTCCTAAAATTTAGGAATCCTTTTTTAGTTTCATACATTGTAATTAGTAAACTTAATTACATTAAATTACAATTAAGTTGATTAATTAGAATGTAATTAAACAATGCCAGGGAGAAGGCATACCCATTTTAATTAGCAGACATTACCGTAATTGTAAATTTAAAAACCAGAAATAGTATCACTTATTTATAATATTATAGAAAGACCACATAAAACTTGACTATAAAAGTAATAAAATACTTGAGTGACACAAAGAATCATTCTCAGAGAAATCAACCACTACATAAAAAATGGGAAAATGTGCACATTCTGATCTATCTAAGTTATATTTTCACCTTATATTTAAATGGGTTTCTACATACTTTACGTAAAGTTGTAGATATGGAAGCAAAATCACCTGCTAAATTAATAACTACAGGAGATTACCTGCCATACTTGATGATTGATAACCTTCATTTTTGAAACAGGGGTACCAGCAATTGCTCTGTGTTTGGAGTAGGAAGTAAGCATGGTTTGGAGAGCGTGTGCCACAGCATAAACTGCATTGTAGACACTGTAGCTTTGCCCAGTCATGCTCAATTCAAAAACAAAATCTGGAAGGGTCTCCAGCTTCTCTTCCCCAGTGCAACTTTTCTCCGACTCTTGGTTTAAAGTGGACTTTGAGAAAGAACATTCAAAAGCTTGTTCCCAAAAGATCCTTGAAAAACTGTCCTTCTCTTCTAGAACATTGTTTCTCATCTGAAAAAATCTATTGAATCCTAATAATTCTTTTGATGCAACTGTGAAAGAAAGAGCCCCATGGATGAAGTCCATACTTCTGTCTTTTTGGAATGGGACAGAAGTGTATTCCATCTGGGCCGGGAAAATCCAAACTTTGTCTTTTTTCTCCACTGCTGTGTCCACAATTTCCGAAACAGAGGAAATCATTCTTAAAAATGGCATCAATTGGTTTTCAGAATATACAATGACAACACTGGAGGTACTTGTCATAATGACTCTGTATATTTCAATAAAATTATTCAGTAGTTCTCCCATCTCATTTGAAAATGTTTCTGTTGGAAACTCTTCAATGTAATCAAAACAGATTCCATTCTGTGAAAATAGAACAAGCTTCTCCCTCAGAAATCTTTCACCAATCTCATTTTCTTGAAAAATTATCCCTATCCAAGTCCACCTAAAATGCAGCAGCAATTGGATAATTCCCATAATTTGAAGATGTTCATTTGGGAACATATGATGGAAGAAGACTTCTTGAATTAGGTTATCAATCACTGGAGCAGAGCCATATGTTAGCTAAGAAGAAATAGAAAAGAGAAAATAAAACATTTTTTTCCAAGGGACTTTTACGAGCAAACCTTTGGATGTTCTTTCACAAAATCCACAAAAGCAGAGGTGGTGTGGGGAATGGTTAATTTTCAGGGGAGTCAAAGGAAAGGAGGGGGACCAATAATTGTAGAACTGTATGTTTGATCTTAGTTCTTTGATATAGTCCATACAAGAAGTAAAACAATGAATAATTGTTCTAGATTTATTGTAAGATTATATTAATATCTTGCAAGATCTCATTCACTCATGATTTCACAAAGTTTATTATATAAGAGTAGAAATCCAACACATAGTTGTCCAACTTTCCTTAAAAACAGTGATGGAACACCCCTAACTCCAAGGGACAGTCTGGTTTTCTACCTAATATGAAACTTTCATGGAAAGCAACAGAGAAATACTTCAAAGTAAATCTGAAAAGTCTGTCATAAGATCAAGAGGATTTGTCCTATTTCCTATATTGTAAAGTGGAAACAAGTGTCTACGGAGGTCATAGTTGTCTCAACAGTGCTTTTTCAAAAGGCAACTGGAAATGAAAAAGGAAATGAGAAAACAAAGATGTTTTACTTCTCATCCATGAAGTTTCATCAGATCAACCCCACCATCCTGCTATAACTGATGAAGCTTCTTAGATGAGAAGTGAAATGTCTGCTTCACCAAGGAAAGAAACAGTCTTTTGAAAAAGCACCTTTGAGGCACAGTGGGAACAAAATATCTTTTCACAAATGCTTTGAGTATTTTCTGCAAATTAGGACAGGAAATTTTGAAAGTGTTTTGTGATTTCACTTACATTCAGATTGCCATTAATTGCAAGCAATAGAGAAAGGCATACATTACTTGGTTTCTTTGGCAGGTCTTACCTGTGGAATCTTGTAAATACTCAATATGTCAGCCATAACTCGAGAGATATGAGAATTGGGTCCTGCAAGAACACATACTAAATTTTGGTGGATGTTACATCTGTAGTTGGGAATGAAACTGTCATGTGAAGAAAGAAGCTCCATAGAAGCAAGATATGTCCGTGATGCCATGAAATAGCTGTTAGATGCACCAAAGCCCAGAGTGGTATTTGGCAAGATTTGAGGAGTTGTGTTAATCTCATTTACAGCAAAGATTAAAGACATGATATGCAGGTAGTTCTGTAGAAGCAAACTTCAGAGGAGTGTAATGTCACAACAGTTGCATTTCCACACAGAGAGTTTCAAATTAATATTTGTTACCAGCAACATCCAAAAATAAACTCTATGCCCACAAAGAAAATGTGTAGAAAATACTTGTCCTCAGTTTCATGAGTGAAATAGTGAAATAGATATTTGGCAGATAACTTCTTTATAGCACTTCATATTAGTTTAGTACCTGCTTTTTAAAGGACCATTATTGTACTTAGCAGTACCTAAAACATATAAAAAAATTGCAGGTTTGAAGATTCGTTCTTCATTGTCAAGGGTATTGAATTAGGAAGAAATCTGATGGCTTGTGGTACATAGTATGCTAGATTTTTTTTGTGTGTGTGCCATTGAATGGCACCCAGGATAAAGGAATCCAGAAAGCAGAGAGTTTGGGGAAAGTCATATATCTGTTACATGAGATCAAGACAAGTTGCAAATTTTATAAAATTGGTCCTGATTCTAGCCATTTATTATGAAATATGTAAATGATATAGTAGAATCTCTGAGCAGAGAAAGTTTAACTGAAAGGAGGTGAAAGATGTCTTACAATCATTTATGTTCTTCTCAAAATACATTGACCCTATAATCAGTCACATTTCAGAGCTAGTATAGTTAAGAAAAAAATATTTACATACAAAGGATTATCAAGTAACTCTTCAGATGGATTTCTTTTGAAGGTGATCAGGTTAGATATCATGTAAATCAATGAAATAATGCCACCAATGATGAGATCACCTGAATGATAAGATTTATATTTAATACTAGGGTTATTGATGGTGCATTTAGCATCATGGCACATAACTCGAGGAAACCATATTAACAGCCACAGTCTGAAGAGCAACAGAGCAAATCTCAGATGTGCTTTGCCCAAATGAGAATTGATATGGCTTCTGAATAAAGAGTAATTTAACATTCTGGCTTTTTCTCTTGAATGATCTGAAAGAAGGGAAAATAGGAAAAATAGACTCACACAGCTTTGCTCTTCATGCCTCATATTTGAATATGTTTAGTAACAAAGATCAGTTCAATATGTTTAGTAACATAGTAACATCAGTCTGGTTTGAACTTCTATTCACTGTGCTGTTTGTAACTCCCTAGAGTTCAGGAAAACACAGCTTTCTGTGTAGCAGCAATTGGCAGCAATTGGTAAAAAAGATCACAATCAAAAATAAAGAAAATCAAGGGAAATAAATACCAAGGGAAATAAATACTCAAATAAATAATATTAAAAAGAAAAAGAAAAATCTTTCCAGCTTTGCATTTGTATAAATGGAATGACATAGAATTCGTAGAATTTTGCACTTGTAGTAGGCTTCCAAAATGAGAAAACAGGCATATTCAATCAAAACTATTTCTTACAGATAATGAAACTTTTTGATTGAACATAACTGTTTTCTTCTTTTT